ACAAGCGGGCCTGACCTAGGGTGAATTTTAAATAGGGATAATTTTTAATGATTTTAAATAGTCACAGCCACTAATATTTGGGTTTTAATTGGTTTTTAGAAGGGGTAATTCTGTATATTGTTTTAACATGCTGTGAGCCGCCCTGAGTCCCATGGGGAGAAGGGCGGCATATAAATTTTGTAAAATAAAATAAAATAAAAATAAATTTTGTAAAATAAAAATAAATAAATGAATTGTAGCTCTGAGGATTTCAGTTGTTTCATTCTTAAGTGAAATGAAATCTTGGATCCAATCCAAACTTTAAAAATTACTGCTGACAAAGTCAAAAGATGAGACATTTTTCTCTCTCTCAAATCTCACCACCACCATATATTAACTACAGTTATTTATGCACTGTAAAAATTAAAAGCTAGAGCTAATGACTACGATGGGTACGTGTATGAGGAAAGACTAATTCAGAATTTTAAAACTACTCTTTGTCAAAGTAAAGTACAGTTTATTGTGAACTTTACACTGGAAACAATGCTTTGTGAAGGACGGAGATTTAATAAAACAAAAGATATCTCTCATCCTGGCTTTAAAAAAAACACTCCATTTTGCATTGGGTTTGAAGTTTGTATATTGGGGAGCAAAAATTATTTTACTGATATGAAAAAAAGGAAGGGCAAATAGACACAGAATAAGATCTTGTCTTATTTTACAACACTTTACTTTTATAATACCTTACCTTCTCTCTCTCTCTCTCTCTCTCAATCTCTCCCTCACTCTTTCTCATATCACTAAAAAAACAATAACTGGCCACATATTTCAGCACTGAGTGAATTCCTAACCAACATGTATGCATGTGGAAACTATGTTGGCAAATCCCTGTGGCAATGGAAATCTTCTATTTTAATCACAGGAAATAGCATGTGTGAAAGTTCTAGGTCAGAGGTAGGCAACATCTGGTTCAGGAATTCTGGGAGTTGAAGTCCACGAATCATAAAAGAGCCAAGGTTGCCTACCCCTGTTCTAGGACATTCCACATGGGTAGTCAGTTTTCCAAATTTGTGTTTCTAAATATACACTAATCCCATACAATGATCTTAAGAATATTTCTGTATTACCTGATTTTAATAATTTAGTACAGTCATCTGTCTGGGACTAGATTAGGAAAAAGTTTCCAATGTTGTTGGTTTATAGACAATATACATGTAGTATTGCTAGTTTTACTGAACTCATAGTTCAATATTGTTATCTTAGCTAAGATTCTTGTTTCATATCCTACTCCGGATGTCAGCAAGGGTGTCTTCCAGGACAAAAGGATGTGGGAGATATGTTTTCCATAAACATTTCTCTTTATTGCTCCAGATAGTGGCTGTTTCAAAGAAAAGCAGGAAATAAACTGTGAAGGCAGAATTTCTTATAGCCTTTCTGACTAAAATGGCAACTAGCACTGGTAGATTTTATTCCATCATTCTGCTTATTTTGTCTAAATTGGTCTTAAAATAATGTGTTCAGCCTCCAAGATCACCCTATAATTATTCATGATTTGAATAATTTTCCTTATTTAAAAATACAGATTGCTGCAGTGCATTTAAGATTTTTCCCCATAATGGATTGCATTGACGTTCTTTTTGCTGATTTTTCAAGGAACGGTGTTTGAAAAACAAGATGGCCATATTTATCATTGTGAAGGTTTAGTGCAGCCATCGTGCTGTTAATGTGGCAAAAAAAACTGCAAATAGAGGATTATGCTATCAAAAAATACCATTTTTGCTGCCAAACTGAAACTCTAATAGTAGTTAAATTCTGTATAGACTTTTATATAGCTTATATGATCCTTGAGAATCCACAGTTTCATCAGTCAAACACCATAAAAATTTAATCAGATGTGGGACTAATATCCCCAGTGGTGTTTTTATTATTATTATTATTATTATTATTATTATTATTATTATTATTATTATTATTATTATTATTATTATTATTATTATTATTATTATTATTATTATTATTATTATTATGCCACTGGGAAAAGCAATCTTGGCCCTCGTCTGCCACTTTATTTGGAAATGTACTTGCAAGCCAAGTCCTGGCCTTCCTTCTAAGGTGTTTGCAGCCCCCCCCCCCACAAAGCAGCTAAAGCCCTAGTTTGACTGGTTGACTGGGAACAGGTTGCTCGAGTGACAGGAGACAGCTCTGAAGAGTTTGTGATCTTGTCAAAAAAATAAAAATAAATCCAAAACAGTATTTCAGCCTTGTGAAAGGATTCTGCCAGAAAAATATGACAGGTGATGGAATAATTAAGATTAGGCATCTTCCTAGACTATGTTTCTGCTCATTATTGCTAAAAAATAAATTTCTCAGGAAAGATGCTGGAGCAAAAAAATGTTCCTGCTCCAGGATGATGGTGAGCATATGTCACCCCCCAAAAAAATCTCTTCCTTCTTTCAAGATGAGGCTCCTAAGAAGGGCTCATGGAAGAGAAACATGCTTGAGCTAAAACATCTAAGGTCTGAAACAACAGTGCAGGTGGGAGTATGGAACAAATGAAATATCACTTGAAGTAAAGAAAATGCCTGTAGGTGTGTTCGGCAATTAGATTATTAAAAGGGTTTTGCCAAAGAACTTGTTGGTTGTTCATATCAATATGTAGCATTAAACTCACCCACTCTCTAATCCTACTCCCAATTTCTTGTTTTGAGAAACACTGGCTGCTGGCATTACTCCTGTATCTTTTATAAGCAGTCTGCCACCGGGACAAAATGTTTTGGGTGGACATGGAGGCAAACAGAGAAAAGTATTAACTTGTTTAGCTTTAAAAAGTCAAAGGTTCACTTGAATCAACTTTGAATCCTGCTGATTGCAATCCTGCAGTTTTCTTGGCAGTTTTATGGAAGTGGTCTGCTTGCTACTGTTTGCTTCTCAGATGTTTTTCTCAGTTTAGGGAACTGCCTGAGTATTCCCAGTTGATCTCCCATCCAAATACTAATCAGAACCGGCCTTGTTTAGCTTTGTAATATCAGCAAGGTTAGCTAGAAGTTGTGGCTAAATGCAAAACCACAAAGCCATGAACTAGATGACTGAGAATCTCCACAGACACAAAGCCAGTAAGAAAAACTGAAAACTTGATTTGTTATTTCTTTTTTTAGTTTGTTAGGATTCCACTTATTAAAATGAGTGGCAAGAGTCTTTTGAGCTCTGGCCTGGCATCCTCATCATCTTCTCTTAGGTTCCATATTATTTCAAAATCCTCTCTCTTCCTCTTTGTCAATATCAGAACACACACATGGACTCAAAGCAAAATGCAGCAGCTGAAGCAGCTAGAGAGCCCCTGTTTTCATGAAGCCACTCTGGCACTTTGTTTCTCTAGTAAAGGATAATTTTAACTTACGAATGAATTGTTCAGATGATACAATACATGGGAAACCTCAGAGAGTTTAGCTCCAAAGATCCCTCACAGCTTGACTTGGTCCATAGTTTTCACAGTATACCAGCTATCCTACAGTTCAGATAGGATTGCAATATTCTCTGTAGGGGAATAGTTTTTTTCTGCATATTTGCTAAATCCTACTGTGAGCTATGATTCTTTTTTTTTTCCTGGCAAGGGCAGTTACTTACACATAATAATTTCACATTTTTTTTGATAAGTGACACAGGGATTCAAGTAAATCAGATCCAACTTACTGCCTCTTTCATGGGCTGATTTCCATGCTAGAATTTTTTGTTCACATTTTTCATTTTTAAAATCTGGACAAAAAGTAACTAGCTTGTTTTTGCATGTGGGGAAATGGAATTACTCACTTACATTAAGTCATTCAAAAAAATTCCTTCATATTTTCACGAAGAACATCTTCCACACTTAGAGCCCTGTGGAGGCCTCTGATAAGGCTGCTTTTCTTCTGTCACACTTCAACCATCTGAACACACCCAGTTTCAGAATTGTACTTCTGAGGACATTGGCTATTCTTCCCATAACAGAAAGGAAGG